GGGCCTCAGCGCTCCGAAGGTCCAGCTGCCTCTCGCCCCGCGTTCGGACGAGTCCCCGGCGAGGTCCCGGCGTTCGGAAGGCTTCTCGCTCGCGGCTCCCTCGCGGTCCGAGGGTCGGTTCTCCCTTCACCGCGCCTGACCCTCTTTCTGTCCCCCTAAACGGCAAGCAAAGGAAAAGGAAAGGACAACTCCGTTCATACCAGATCTGATTCTCTCGCGGAGACACCTCTCGCAGCCGCCTCTTCCGTTTGAAAACTTTTATTGATCTTAGTTGCTGGTCCTTCACAACGAAGGAGATAAGCGCGAGAGGGAGGGGAAAAAAATCCTTCTCTTTCAGAACTCCCAAGATGAAAAGAATTTGTTGTTACTCCCGTCTTTCTCCCTAGCAATTATACGCGTCCTCAAATAGCTAAGTGCAATAACCTTTTGTTGTGGGGTTTTTTTCCTTCTTCCTTCCCCTTTAAATGGTTCTTGTTCTCCCTCCCCTTTTGTAAAAAAAAAAAAAAAAAAAATTTTAAAAATGAAGAAACACGGTCTTGATTAAATGAGTTTTTATTTTCCCTTTTAAAAAATCCTCTCCTTTTCCTTTCAAACTCTTGCAAATAGCAACACAAAACAATATAACACGAAACCGCAACAGCAGCCTAAACCCACCGCTCTGACCAGCTCTAACAACACGCTCTGGCGAGGTGACTCCTTTGACCAAATTTAGCAGCAGCGAATCATTAACATTCTGATACATATTCACAACAATCGGAAGACAAGACTGTCGCAGAGCATCCTGGTATACGTAGTCCTTCGTCAAAGTATTCTTTCTAGCTGATACGTACAATATACGCCAATAATAAACTACCATTCCCATCAGGAAGCACAAAACCTTTTTAGCCTCCTGTCTATTTCCCCCAACCGCTCCTCCCACCGAGGGCGTCAACAACGACCAATCAGCAGTGGCCACTCATTAATCGCCGTTCTGTATTAATGCCCATCATTTCGCCTCTGACAAATGGGCTTACGGCTCGGTGGGGGGGGAGACGATTCTGTTCGACCTCCCCACGTGGGGAACTGACGCGACTCTGGCGGTAGCCAATCCAACGAATCCGTTTGAAGGGGCACTCCCCCAACCCTCCCTTCTTCCCTCTGCCCGAGGTGGAGCTTTGAGATTGCTGACGTTCGATTGCGCCGGCGTTCGAACAGGGGAAACATTTGTTCACCTGTCAATCAAAGTAACGTGGGACGGCTGCTGCTGCTGCCGCTTGTCTGCTGGGTGGTGGCGCGATGAGGGAGGTGTGCGGCTGGAGCAGGAGAGGAGGAGAAGGAAACCATTGAACCTTGCTGCGTCCCACCCCCATCCAGTGCCACTCACCGTCGCTGTATCACCCGCACCAGGAGGAATGCGGACTAATTAGGGGCCAATGTCTCCTTAAAGAGACAAGCTCGGCCTTGTGTAACGTGCCGAAACCCCTGTTGAGACAAGAGAGGGAAGATCACGCTGATCCCACTTCTTTCAGTTCACATCAATTTTACGCGCCACTGGAGCTGGCATAATTTTCATGTGAACGGGACTGAATCGCTTCGTCGAGTGAGAGACGGGGGGCCTAGACGCTCGGGGAGCGGAGGGGGTTAGACTCGGAGCGGGAGATTGGGATCTTTTCATTTTCTTCCATTTAGGGATAAGTCACGATTTCCCTGGGTTATAAAAGAGCTGCTGTTAATTGGGCACAAAGACGCCTGGCACTGAAAGGGAGAGCCGGCAGAAGGAAATGAAGGCTGTTCGAACGAATAATTTATCCGGAGCTAATTTACTCAGCGCCAATGACCTCCGTCCACAGGGGCGGCAAGCTAACTATGGGCGCGGGATTGGGGGGACGGGATGGGGGGGAC